AGTGGAAATTTTGCCTGCTGCTCCATCTATTGATATTTAGAGATAAATACCTACCCTCACTGGGTTAAACACCATTCCTGTCTATTTTTCTGCTCCAGATTGTTCTCATTTTAAGCAGTTTTCTTTTTCTTTTGACACCAAAATTGGCTGGAGAATAAACTTTGTAACACAATATGAGGTATTAGAAAGCAGGTGTTCTTTATTACAATGCTGGACACATTTGGAGGATTTTCCTCTACTCAAATGTGTGCATGAAAGTTTACAAGAGGTTATTTATTCCATCAGGACCATACACATTCATTGCAACATACTTCCTAGCTAATAGATAAATATAAGTTTTCCTAGCACTAACTTATATACCTCATCCCTTTTACTGGAACTCCTTTTGTGGTCTTAGAGGGTCATGTAAAGGAGTTTCTGGTGGTTCTATTCACTGACAGCCCCCAAAACTGTAAGTGGCCCTGCCTTACAATTCTTAGGGCATGCACTGTTCTTTTTTGTTACAGAAGTTTGCCACAAAAATCACTTAGGTTCCTCGTTGTGTGTTTATCCACTGATTCCAGCTACATTTACCATCCTGTGTGTCTACTTTCACATTCTTTTATCCAATTGATTGTTAATTTTAAGCTTTATCTTGCAATTTCAAGGGAACTGAAAATTTTTATCTTCCATGCTATCACTTTAGAGAAGTAAATGATTAAGGTCAGTCATCAGTTCTCATTTTGACCATTTCAGCCCAATTTATCTTTTTCTGACTCAAGAATGTCCCCTGTGTATGCTATTATCAAATTCTAGTTTCTGGAGAAACTTTATCCCTCATATTACCTTCTGCCTTTGTTACTTACATTAAAGATCAAAATTGATCATATAGTTTGGATGTATCCAAATCTGAAATCTTAGTTAATTTATTTCCTATAAGATGCAGAAATATCACACAGTTTTAAAAAATATTTGGAGTATTTAACTTTCAATATACACAGTCCAACATATTCTGAAGATTTTATGAATAAAATTTTCCAGTGCATTTCTGGAAGATGCTCATAAAATCTTTACTTTTTGTTTATACTCCTTTAGGTGTCTGTCATATTATGCTTCTGGAGAAAAATTTCTTGCTGCTCCACAGGAGGTGTTATGATGGAAATTACAAGCAAAGATAAAGAATTCTTTCCCATGTATTTTGAGTTCCACAGTAGATTTATTATGATAGTGTGAATATTAGTGTATTCATTCCTCAATTTCAGTAAAATTCTGCTCTGTGTTGGACAATGGAGACCCAGGCATCAATCAGTGACTGATCTGTATGCACTGGATTAGATGGAAAAAAAACCCACCAGCACCTCAATGCAACATATTCAGTTGATTTTTAAAGTATGTTCCACTAATCTTTATCTTTTCCTGCATTCATCTCGCCTAGCGTATGATGAAAACAATACTGTAATTTCTGATCATTTAGCCCAGTACGATCCTAAAACCATGGGTATTAGTTTCTCTTCCATTTGAAGTCATGGATGATAAATTTTTTTTGGCTTGGAACTTTGTTTTTGGTGGAAATGCATCATGCTTCAGATGCACTGAACTCTCACTTCCAAATTGGGCAAAGACTGATGAAGGCTGAACAACAGTTTCTCTTTTGATTCATTCATTTTACTTCAGTTGCTGCAGGTTAAATGTAGGCTGAAGGCTTTAATTTACTTGGAAGCCATACTATATTTTAACTTTAGAAATATTTGCAAAACTAATTTTACTGTAATTTTCTTTCAGATGTTTCTCAATGCAGATAGAATGTTTTCTTTTTATCATACGTACATATGCATGGAATTAACACTTCTGTACACATGTTTTCCTTCTCTCTATTAAAAACCATATGCAACATTCATGGAAGGAGAACATACAGAACTTTTGAGATGTTTAGGAGCAGTGTTCTTTAAATCTCAACAAGGACTGAAATAACAATTTGGGGCTCTTAAGGAAAGCATAAATCAGTGTATCACCTGGATGAACTTACCTTATCTGAGTGCCATTTGGTATTTTCCATGATATCTGTTCATTGGTCCAAACATTTCAGTGACAGAGAACAGATGGTAAAACAGCTTTATTAAGTAAACTTATCTAAATTATTCATCCTTTTAGTGAAAGAGGTAGGTGCACTGTAGTTCAAGCTCTGAAAAAAAACAGCTAGAATGTAGCAGAAAGGTCCACTTGAATTCTGAGTCATATGAGGTGTCTGAGAGAGTAGGGGTTGTTTACCCCAAAGAAATGAAAGCTCAAGAGAGACCTTATAATTCTCTACAAGTATATGAAAGGAAATAGGGGAAAGACAGGGCTTTGCCAGAAAACCAGTGACAAGTTTCTTACCCCAGAAAACCAGTGACAAAACAAGAGAATGTAGCCTTGAATAGCTCCCAGTAAGGTTGAGGTTTTATGTCATAGAAGGGGTTGGTAAGAATTTGAACTGACTGCCTGAGGTGGTGGTGGAGATGCCACTCCTGCAGGTATTCTAGAAATGACTGGACATGGCATTGGTTGTATGGTCTAGATCAATCATAGGTTGGAGTCTATGATCTTAGAGTTCTCTTCCAACATAAATCCAAAAATAACAGAATATGCCAAGGTGGAAGGGACCCATAAGGATTGTCAAAGTCCAACTCCTGGCCCTGCACAGGGCATACACCGGAGTCACACCTTGTTCCTGAGAGAATTGTCCAAAAGCTTTTGAACTCTGTCTGATCAACTTCACTGAGGTCCCTGCTTCAGTGCCCAGATACCCTCAAGTGAAAACGTCTTCCTGATATCCAACCTGAACCTCTCCTGACACAACTTCAGGTCATTTTCTTGTGTCCAGTCACTGCTCACCACAGAGAAGAGATCAGTGTCTGCTGCTCCTCTTCCCCACATGAGAAAGTTGTAACTGCAATGAGCTCTCTCTTCAGTCTCCTCCAGACTGAACAGGCCAAGTGACTTCAGCCTCTCCTCATATGTCTTTACCTCAAGGCCCTTCACCATCTTTTTTGACCTCCTTTGGATACTCTGTAATGGCTTTACATCTTTCTTACACTGTGGCACCCAAAGGTGCCCCCAGGACTCAAGGTGACACTGCCCCAGTGCAGAGCAGAGCCCCACTGATGATGCTGTTTCTGATGTCCCCAGGACACAAGTGACCGTCCTGGCTGCCAGGGCACTGCTGACACATGTTCAACTTGCCACCAACCAGGACTCCCAGGTCCCTTGCCATGGCACTGCTTTCCAGTATCTCATTCCCTGTTGTGTACATAAACCCATGATTGACCAATCCCATGTGCTGAACCAGGCACTTCCCCTTGTTCAACTTCATATTTGGGATGATTGCCCAGCAGTCCTATTTGTCCAAGTCACTCTGCAGGGTCTCCCTGACTTAGGGAGAGTCAGCAGATTCTCCCAATTTTGTATCAACTGCAAACTTACTTAGAATCCCTTCTAGTCCTATGTCCACACAGCTAATGAAGTTGTTGAGCACTGAGGATGGAGACCTGTGGAAGGCAACCAATGACAGTTCCTCAGTCTTATGTCACCCCATTCACTGTAATCCTTTCTGCCTGACCTGTAAGCAAGACACACAGACTTGTGATTGCTCACCCATCTCAGGATGTGTTAATCCAGCTGTGCTCTGGCTGTTTTGTCCAGAAAGTTTCTGTGAGGCACAGTATCAAAAGCTTTACTGAAATACAAAATGATTATATCAACTGGCTTCCCTTGATCAGCTAGGTGGGTTACCTTGTCATAAAAAGAAAAAAGGTTTGACAAGCAGGACTTTCCCCTCAAGAAGCCATGCTGGTGACTGTGCTGTCATTCAGGTTCCATTTAGTTTTTCAGTTTCTCCCAGAATAGTTTTCTCTATAACCTTACCAGGGAGTGAAGTGATATTGACAAGCCTGTATTTTCCAGTCTCATTCTTCTGGCCCTTTTTAGAGATTAGAAGAATGTTCCTCAGCTTCCTGTCAGCTGGGACTTCTCCAGATTCCCAAGACTATTCAAAAACTCATCAAGAGAGGGTTTGCAAAGAAATCAGCTAGCTCTATGAACTATTTTTGAATGAATTTTTTCCCTAAAGTGGTAAGCAGCATTTCTGTATTCCTCCCACGCTACCTGATGTTGATCTCACTTAAGCCTTCCTTTTTTGCCTTATCTTCAAAAGAAGATCCCTGATAGGCAGGCTGGCCTTTTGTCCTGCTTACTTGACTTCTGACACTTTGGAATTGCCTGTTACTGTGCCCTTTGGAGGTGGTGCTCAAAAGGTGTCCAGAATTGACTGACTCCAGTGACTTGAAAAGCCCTTTTCCAGGGACATTCCTCATTAGTTCCTTAAGCAGAAGTCATTATGTGATTCTGTGAATTACTGGCAGGTACTTCTAAAGGGTAGCAAATTTCTTCAAGAAATATTGCAACTGTACAGAAGCCGAGATCTAGATTAATGTTGCAAACATCTTTCAATATACCACCTGATTATTCGTTTTGCTTAGTAAAGAGAAGAGCCTACTATTGCTATCAGTTTGCATTGCATCATCCGGTTGGATGGTACAATTCTCCATTAAAGATATTCAACAAAATGGTACTCAGCAAAGCTCTCGTGGAAAAACTAACTACAATTGTACTGAAATATTTCCATGACCTTTCTCAGATAAGATTCTGATTTGCTCAGAAGAAGATACTATTTTTGACATTCAAATGAGAAAGGACTTACAAGTCTATGTCTGAAAATCTGCTATTTTTTAAAAAAAACAAATATACTATTTCTTATTCCTGAGAGTTTTAATGAATCAATAAGTGCAACAGCATTGCATATACTCAGCTAAAGTTTGTTCTCTGGAACATGAGCTTCTCAGTCCTCGTCTTGTTCACCAAGTGATATTGATGGTTTTATACTCCTTTATAATGTAGCCATTGATAAAGTGCTTGTATTTCCTTATACTAGGGCATGGTTAAGTATATTTCTATAAAAATGTAAGAATATTTGCATTTTCCAGGTCTGTTTCAGGCATTATGAGTGTGGTGTCCTGAGAGATGCTGTTGTCCATGAGAGGCTGGGATTATTATAATCAAGTGCTGTATTTTGACTTCACCCAGTGGCTTAAAGATTTGTGGAGTGAAGAAGAAGTGTTGGACTTTTAAGAGAATTAAACAGGTAAGTCTATTGAAATAGTTTAGGCTCTTTTTTATTGTTAGATTTCAGATTTTTTCAATTGCAAGTTCTATCTCAGTGCACCTTCTGTCCAAAAAAATCTATTTCGCAATCACAAATGCAAATGACTTTCACAATTTTTATTCTGAGCAGCTCTTTATTTTGTAAACTCTTTTCTTTAGAGAAAAAAAAAATTGACAAAAGGAGACAGAGTTATTTCCTTACATTTTGATAGCAAGAAGAAACTCTACACCCAATAGCATATAGCCACTGTGAGAGCAATAAAAAAATGAAAATAATTCAGTTAACAGAGTTTAGTGGCATCTATGTACGTTATTTTATTAAAAAATTGTTACATGTATGAATTTTACGGCTGATTTTCTGTTTATTTTACCATTATATTTGGTTTATTATTAGATACTGAGAAATGTCTTTCATCTCTGAGACTCCTATTTAAACAATCCATCTCATTTCTTAGAATAACCTGCAGAAACCAATTGACCTAAGATAAGGCAATGTGCTAAGGATGCACTAAAACATTGCCAAAAGTCAGTCTGTCTTATCTGATTTTGATGGATGTTTCACTAGGCAGGGGGAAGATCAAGAACAGTTTTGTATCTTTTTTTCTGTATGTTGCTGTAACTTTTATCAAGTAATAATCTTGAAAACTATGCAGGATCATGGCACTCTGGTACAAACTAAATCTAAGAATCAAGACAATGTGTTAAGCTAAGATTCTTCCAGCTTATCGGTGATTTTTTCCTTTTGAAATTGAAATATTATTTACCAGATCTAGTCAAAGCTGTCCTGAAGTATGTCTAGGGCAGCAGTAGATACTGCTGAACAAATTCCAGGCTTACGCCAATGTGAGTTGTACCATACAAAAACACAGTTTGGCTCAGGAAACACGAGGGCAGTGCTCAGATGACACTGTACCTTGTGTGCTGCACTGTACAACCTCCAGACTGGACCCATGAGTAAAAGACAGCCAAAGAGATGAACAGAAAACTGTCTTCACATCCATTTCTCCAGACTTTAGGTTTGGAGTACACTCAGATTGATGCAGGTCAGCTGTATCTGTATCTATTTCACAGCTGCACTACCATTGTATTCTGCCTGTTTTCAGAAAAAAATATTTCCAACAGAATTATTTTTGCAACTGTCAAGAAAAATACATATTGACCACTTATTGCTGCAACTGAACTATTCTCTGATATCAAACCTAGTAATTTAACTAATAGATTTTTAACAGATTGCGGTTTTTAACGTTGAAAAACTAAAAAAAAATTAAAATAAAAGGGAAATTCTTGGCAAGTGACTATAATATGACTAAAAATTTCATAAACACAATGTTGCAACTCATCATCCCCATCATAACTGGGGAATTTTCATGCTGATATATAGTGAGAAGAAAAGTGTTTAAAAAAACACTTATTTGTGTTTTTGTTTTAAACACATAAGTGTTTAGAAAAATACTATAATATGTAGTATTATATATGTATATATGTGTTTCTAGTTTTGCTTTATTTTTCTATAGAAATCTACAGCCTTTTAAAATGCTCTTCTCATGTGTCTGTATTTCTTATGGTAGCTTTATTCTGGTGATATGAGTGGAAAGTTGGATCAGGATTGTTATTCAGGATGCTGTTGCATCAGGATTGTTTATGGTTCACTAATATTTATCTCCTTAAGACTCAATTTTTTATCCATTTTTAAAAGAAGTTTTAACATTTAATTTAAAAGTTATCTATGAAATAGAAGTCAACAGCGATAGAAGTCAAGGCTTTCAAGCTATGTAGCATGTGGAACACAAGAAGCTAATCGCACATGCAATTCTTATTTTGTCTTTCAGAAAATATTAGTTTTTCTCTGTGCTGTCCCTCTTTTGTAGTAGTCTTTGGTGATCTGTACGTAAAAACTAAGTACGCTTAAACTGTTATTACGTTTGTTGTCACAGTAACGGTTCAAACTTTTCACCATTTACATCAAAGGATAAACTCTTTCCAACTTTGTATGATGCATTTCTGGCTGAAAAACTGGGCCAAAAATTAGGATCTCTACAAACAACTGGTGGGAGAAATTCTTTCTCATAAGTCTTAAATTGCTTTACTAGCCAATGAACTTAGAAAAAGACCTCCAAGAAGCAGTGGGAAAATTAACTTCCAAATCAAGATCTTCCCTATTTTCGAATTTTGCATGGTAGCACTATGGCACAGGGCAATTGGTATCCTATCAAGGCCAATGGTAACCTTGGCCATGTAATGAAAAACCGAAATATTTTTGTAAGAGACTCTTTTCAGTACATGGAAGCTTAAAGCAATTCTTCAAACAGTAAAAATAAGGCACTATTTTTTTACAGGTTTACTCTTAGTGGGACTTTTTGCTGGAAAAACTTGTTTTCTGTTTTGATTTGGTTTGGGTCCTACTTTGATTTAATGACAATATTGCTAAGGTATGGGAAGTCTGTCAGGACATTTCAATGCTGGTTTTAATGTCTTATGACATGGTTTTAAAACCATCCCTTCCAAGTTCATGCCTTTTCACATTTTACTCTCTTTTCAACAAATAATGTGTATCTTTTGAAGTTTCTGAACAACAGAAATTTAAATATTATATAAATACACATGGCAAACTCAGGATATTTCCATGAGTATTAACAAAAATGAAAGTAATCCAAAATTTGATGAGTTCGTATCATGAAAGTTTTATGTTTGCCATTCACAACAAAAGCTGAATGTGGTATGTAAACTAGCTAACTGCACTGTACTTTCAGAAAAGACCTGGGGGCAATTGCATGTTTTATATCTGGAGGCTTTGAGTGACTAATAATAATACCATGTGCAATCGACTGATAGCTCCAAGTTAATCTAGGGCTGTTTACAGTAGTCTACTTACAAAATGAAGTGAGAAGTTAGGATACCTGGGAGTTCAGGAATGAGCTGATCAAGTTTTTGACTGCTCCAGTGATTTATGGCAGGTATTCTGAGCTTGACAGACTTGGAACTGATACTACACCTTTCTTTCTCTTTGATTTTTCTTCATCCATTTTTTAATTTTTCTTTTGAAATTGTGTTTTCTTAATAATTCTCTTTAGTTATTTGTGATTTCTTGAATCTAATTTAGAGGTTTTTCTCTTCTTGGAATAAAAGGCTCCTAAGCCATGTAAATGCTGAAAATATAGTGTTCATTTCTATCTAAGGTATTCTGTGATTTTTAGAGGCAGAAAATGATCCTTAAAAATTGTATCCTTTAAGAACCAGAAAGCAAAATAAAATTAAACCTTTAATCATTTGTATTTTTAATTTTAATTGTCTTTATTGTTAGCAACATTTTTGGATTTTGAAGCTATAATGATAAACACTTCCTGAAAGAACACAAGTTTCTATAAATATTTTTCCCTTTCCATTTGAGGTCAGTTATTAATTTTACTACGATCATCATAATTTTTAATATTATTATAGATAAAATCTATAGTTTGCATAGTTAAATCAGGGAAAATCTAGTCAGTAGACCTCTGAGAAAGTCTTGCTTTTCCTGTGTAAACACTGTGGGAATGTGACTGACAGTATACTGATCCTTTTATTGGTACACTGTCTCACTGAAAAATCAAGGATGACTTCTTCCTCTTCTTTTTTTTTTTTCTTTTTTACTCTTCTATCCCATTTCAGTCTTTTAACAGATTTTTCCACATCTGATAGCTTATGATGAAAGCAAATTATGTTGTCAGTGGTGCGCATTGGAACTGTCCATTTCCCTGCTTAGCACTCTAGTTGGTCCTCTCCTTGAGCCTTTCCTGCCCTTAATTACTTAAATAAACTTTACACAATGGGCATATCAGCCCAGAAGGGCTCAATATAGAGAGCTTTTGCCTCTTCAAACTCACCTCCATAAGTATTTGTAGAAATGAAATCTCATAACCCTGTTTCTCAAATTTATGTTGCAATTAAAAACAAAGTCACTTCTGAATTTTATTTCTCTAACTCAGCTTCTATCTTGCAGGTTTTATCCTTCTATTCATCATTTTATCACTCCATCAATCAATAAACTTCAATTGTCTAGCAATTTCAGCAGGCCGACAAAGGAAATCAAATGTACCAAACACCACCATGCTCCCTAATAAAAAAAAAATACATTCCTAGGGAAAGTTACAAAATTTTTTTCATTACAGAGGATCTTACAAAAAGATGAGGCAACGAGAAGTGTGGAAAAAGGCTTAGGGACATCTTGAGTGTGTCAACACAATTATCCTGTTGCTGACAAGAGAAGTTAAAACCACATAGCACTGTGATTTCTACAATAAAGTCTTCCCTGACACAAGTCAAGGTGCAGCTGAAAAGCAGAACTCATGCAATCTAGATCAGGTTAGCAATCAAGACCCTGAATCTTAACATTGTTTTAACATTTTTCAAGTATTTTTAAAGTCTGTAAACCCCTTTGGATGTTCATCACTTCACAGAAACAGATAAATTGGAAAAAAGAAAAAAAAATAAGAAAGAAAAGATGGACCACTGTATCAAAGGAAATGTCAAGTTATTTGAGCCATTCCTTCTAGTTCCCAACCCTTTGCTATACAAAATGTGGTTACATAAAAATTGATATAAAGATCTCTTCTTATTCTCAGAGTGTCCTGTTGGGTTAGATTTCCGTTCCACCATAGGCACATTTAAAATGTTCCATTATTTTTCACCAACATTTCTCTACATTACATTGGTGCTGGTTGTAATTTGGTTGTCTGAGGATTTCATCAAATTCAAATGGCACTTTGAATTTCTTTCTTTACAATTCCATTATTTCATAGTTCAAGTTTTATGAGAGTTTGCTTTTCTATTCTTATTGGCTGATCTTTTGTGGCACCATGAATAAAACACATATTTGCACACATCTGAGACTACAAGACCATCATTCTGTGGTGAGATGGGAATGAACAAATGGCTGCCTCAGTGTGATGCAGCTTGATGATGCTATTATAGTTGGGGACGGTTCAATACAGATTGTCAAAGCAA